CCTCTCTGTGTGTTTTCTGGGGTATTGCGGCTGGAGGCCAGACCGGGGTGGGGAGGTGATGTGAGAAGCCATCGTTTATAGCAGCTCTGAGCCTAGGCTAGCAGGGAGGCTGTCCTGAATGGGACAAATTAAACTCCTTACCCTTCTCCCCTCCTTCCTAATCATCTTAAAATAGTGGTTCATCTTTAGGGGCATGGACCCTTGAGAAGCTGAGCAGTGTAACGGATCTTCTTTCTAGGAGGTGCATATACACAAATTGTAATACAAACTGTTAAAATTACTCTAAGGGGCTGTGGATCCTATTCCCACCCCAACCCCACCAAAGCACGCCCACCTCAACCCCATCATTCCCTGGCTTGGGGCCAAGGATCCCTGCTCTAAGAAGCAGCAGAATCAGCCTTACTTTCTAAACTTCTGTACTACTGAATGAAAGGGACATTTTTTTTTTTTTTTAAGATTTTATTTATTTGAGAGAGAGCGTGAGAGCGGGATGAGGAGTGGAGGGAGAAGTAGACTACCCACTGAGCAGGGAGCCCAATGTGGGGCTTGATTCTGGGACTCGGGGATCATGACCTGAGCCGAAAGCAGACGCTTAACCGACTGAGCCACCCAGGCGCCCCTGAAAGGGACATCTTTATCTCCTGTGATCCTCTGTCTCTTGGAAGGCTGCTGTTGGAGAGATTTGACCATGTTAACATCTACTTCTGTGCTCTCTTTGTAGACATTGGGTGCAACAAAGAAGGTTGACCCTGACCTTCCTCTTAGTGTAGCAATGGGGAAAAGGAGTAGCCTCCTTCCTGGAATGCAATCACTTTTGATCTTCAGTGCTCCTTCCTGGTGGGGTTGGTATGAGTATAGCTATGCTGCCAATTGGGGCCTGGTCCCCTGTGGATGCAGTGGAGAACTTACGGCCCTGCCAGATAATCATAGTAACTAACCAACACTTTCTGTGGGTTTAGCTTCCGAGCAGTGCCTGGCACTTCGTAGGTCTTCAATAAATGTTGAAAGAATAATTACTCTACATACTTCAGAGATCTCACAACAGCTTTGAGAGGTAGGTATTATCCCTCTGTTTTGGTGAGGAATATAAAGTTTGGAGAGAGGTTCAGTAACTTACTCAAGGTCACATAGTAAGTGGTGGAACCAGGACTGGAATCTAAGTTTGACTCCAAAGCCTATGCCGTTACTACATTAATCTGTGTCTGTAGCCTTGGAGCCTTGCAGACCCCCTTGTAGTCCAAGGTCTTGGCTAGCTGGAGAATGGCAACTTCGGATTAGTGTCTCTATTGTCTTTTCTCTGTTCTTATTTGGCAGCCTGTATAAAACCTGTATAAAAGTTGAAGTACTGGACTTGGGAGTCAGTAGACCTGTCAAACCCCTTTAATGGATCTTCTGTGGTCCTGAGCAAATCAGCCTGTCTGGTGAGCCTCTGTTACCTGTAAAATGGGGATATCATAATTGCCTTCCTTGATATCCAATGGTGGTGATGTAAAGATAATTTGGAGGGGCGCCTGACTGGCTCAGTTAGTGGAACGTGTGACCCTTGATCTTGGGGCTGTGGGTTTGAGCCTCATGTTGGGTGTTGAGATTACTTAAAAATAATTTTTTTTTAAAGATTTATTTATTTTAGAGACAGAGTGCATTGTGGGGTGGGGCAGAAGAAGAGGGAGAGAGAAACTTAAGCAGACTATGTACTGAACGTGGAACCCAACACAGGGCTTGATCTCACGACCCTGAGATCACAACTGAGCCAAAACTAAGAGTCAGGTGCCCAAAAAATAAAATCTTAAAAAAAAAAGATAGAAAGTGATTTGTAGGGATGCCTGGCTGGCTCAGTAGGTGGAGCATGTGACTCGATCTCAGGGTTGTGAGTTTAAGCGCCATGCTGGGTGTGGAGCCTACTTAAAAAAAAAAAAAGATTTGTAAGTAGCAAAACAGTCTAAATAAAATAATTTGTTCCCAAATCAGTGATTGTGCTTTAGAGTAAAATTTTCATAATGACTCTTAACCTTTTACATTCATTCATTCATTCAGCAACAAGTATCAATGGAGCTGTACTCTGCACTGGACATTATTTTAGTTTGTGTGGATGCAAAGATACCAGAAAAAAACCCCTAGCCTCAAAAAGCTTACATAATGGAAAAGAAAACAATTGTGATACATTGTTATCGATACTGTACTGGGGTGTGAAGAAAGTACCCTGGAATCATTGAAATAGAGCCTAAGTGCCTAGGTAGGTCAGGGGAAAATTTTGAGGGAAAATGAGACCTGGAGGAAGATGAGTTTGTCCAGAGGAAAAGGGTAGAATATCGCTAAGGGAGTACAAAAAGAAGGAAAGCGGAAAAGTTATTTATTTTCAGAAACCACAGATAGTTTGCTTTGGCCAAGTGTACAGGGCCAGGAAAAAGTGTGGTAGGAGATATAGTAAAAGAGACACAGGCTCAGATCAGGTTTAGAAGAGCTTTGTTGTTCTAAGAAATTGACTGTATCTCTCAATGGAGACCACTGAGTGAGAGCAGGAAAGTCATATCAGTTATCTGGGTAAGGAAGCTCACCATGGAGGCTGGGAGACCGAGCAAAGGAAATAAACGCTTGCACTAGGGCATTAGAGGTGGGGAAGGGCAGAAGAAAGATTTTTATAAAGCTAATACTTGAATTTGATCCAAATACCAAGAGGACCTGGTGACTGATTAGAGGTAGTACATGGATGGGAAGGAATGTAGGATGAATCCCAGATTCTCAGGTTGGGCACTATTCACTGAAAAAGAATACATGGGCACCAACATGTATGGGGTTGAGGTGGAGGACTCTTGAGTAGGGAGAGTTGACAAGTTCCTATCTGGGCACACACAACTTGAGATGCCTGTGGGATGATCAGGTGGAGATGTCTTTTAGGTGGTACCTTGTTCTAACTGGAGCTCGAGAGAGAGGTTTCTGAGTTAGGAACAGATTGGCAGGTAGGCAAGTAATTGATTTTTATATATTAGTTTGCTTTAGGGAGAAAGAAATTAGAAGAGTAGAGAAAAGAGTCATACATGATAAAGTCACAGAACCCAAATGAAGAGTCAGAGAACACTAGATCTGCATTCTCATTCTCACTATGGTTCCTTCTCCATGAATCTATTTTGCTCTCCTTTGGAGCTTCAGTTCCTCATATACAGTGGGAAGAATGCAATCTGTTTTTTGTTTTTTTTTTAAAGATTTTATTTATTTATTTGACAGAGGCACAGTGAGAGGGGGAAAACAGCAGGGGGAGTGGGAGAGGGAGAAGCAGGCTTCCCATGGAGCAGGGAACCGGATGCAGGGTGATACTATGACCCTGGGATCATGACCTGAGCTGAAGGCGGACGCTTAAGGACAGAGCCACCCAGGTGCCCCTGAATGCAACCTGTTTTATAGGAAATCGTGAAGATTGAGATCACATAGGTCATATATATTAAGTGACCACGTTATCGTTGGTACAGAGAAAATGTTTTACCTTCTGAGATTATATGTGTGCACATGCACACCCCCCAACCACCACAGATTGTGCACAAGAGTGTCATTGCCAGGTACGTAGGCACTGTTTCAAGCCCTTTTCACATGACTTAACTCTTTTAATCTTCACAATCCAATAGTGTGGATGTTATCACTGTGAGAGAAAGCACCGTGGTTAAAAGCTCGGACTGAGCCAGACTGCCTGGTTTCAAATCTGCCCCATTTTACAAGTTATTAAGTAGGTAGGTAGTAGGTACATGGCCGGGAAGTAGCAGAATTTAGATTAAAACCTAGGCTGAGTACGTGGATTTGCCTCTAGGACAATTCCTCCCGGTGCCAAAATTCTTTTGGCTGCAAGACAGGAGTTTTGGGATTATTTCTTCCGTCCTTATTCTGAACTTTCCATGATTGACTTTTGTCTCTCCCTGGGAGTGGCTGATCTTTGTAAGGCAAATTTACTCGTACTAATTCCTTAGGATGTTTCAGTCCTTTTAGCCTAATAGGTATTCAGTTTAAATAGGCATTTCAATCACTTTATTTTCAAAGGCTGCATAATTTGTATTTCTTTTCATATTTGTATCATGATTTATTTAGGCAGGACTGGGTCTTTAATAAATTTCGGTATTCTCAGCAACGCCCCCCCCCCGCCTCCGCCGCCAGCACTCAGTACTTAGTATGCACTCAATAAATGCTTGTTCAAAGAATGAATGAACTAAAGAACCGCGGAACAGAGACGCCGAGGGGGGTCGGTCTGGAAGTTCCAAAGTTCGGGAGGGGACAAGGGGGCGGGTAGCGACTGTCACATGACGAGGCGTGGCAAATCTTATGTACTCCGCGGCGCCGGGCGCAGCTCCGCCCCCTGCGCCGGTCACGTGGGGGCGCCGGCTGCGCCTGCGGAGAAGCGGTGGCCGCCGAGCGGGATCTGTGCGGGGAGCCGGAAATGGTTGTGGACTACGTCTGTGCGGCTGCGTGGGGCTCGGCCGCGCGGACTGAAGGAGACTGAAGGTAAAGCCGCCATGTCCGGGCCCGACCCGGCCCCCCCACCCCCTCCCCCCGCATCCGCCGCCATCCGGGCCGGGACCGGCCACCCTGCGCAGCCGCCCCGGCGCCCTGGCCCTGCGGCCCAAGCCAGGGCCCCGGCCCGTCAGGGCCCGATCTCTGGCCCACGTGTGCCCGGCCTGGCCCGGCCTGGCTGCTGGGTGGGGGTGGGGGAGCGCGGGGCCGGAATATGCGGTCCCCGCGGGCTGGTAGGGTGCCGGGTTCGCCAGCCGCGAAGTGCCACCTCGGCCTGACCCGAGGGGGCCCCGCGGGCGCAGGCACCGCGGCTGCCGGCCCACCGCCCCCTCCCCCCTTTGCGGCCCGGCCGCCGGGAAGTGACACGTTGTTCTTTGGCACTGGCCGGCGCTGCGCAGGGAGGGCGCAGGGGAGGGAGGCGGCAGCGGCGGGCAGGGAGGAGCCCCCGGCCCCGCCCGCCCTCCGGGCCGACCCTCACTTGCTAGGAACCGGCTCCTCTTCGGCCGCCGCCCGCCTGGCCTTTTACAGCCCGACTCCCGCCCTTCCTGGCCTCCACTCCTGGGCGGCGGCAGGCCTCGCGTCTGGCCCCGTGAGGGTGCCCCCGCGGCCACCCGCAGCAGGCGTGCCTTGTGTGCCCCTGGGCCTGGCCCCGAACCCGGTGTCCCCAGGTGGGGGGTGGGGACACCACGGCCGAAGCTGCTAGCTCCGTTTGTGATCCGGGAGCCTGGTGCCAGCGAGACCTGGAATTTCCGGTCTGGTTGGTCTTGGGCCCCGCGGAGCCAGGTTGATACCCCTCACCTCCCAACCCCAGGCCCTCGGATGCCCAGAACCTGTAGGCCGCACCGTGGACTTATTCTTAACCGAGGGGGTGAGTGAGGGGGCTGTTTCAGCAGACCAGGGGGGTGGTTGGAGGTGATGCGGGTTTGACAACGTGTTGGTGGGGACGTAAGGTGGATCCTTCACCCCCTTCGCGCCTCCGGTACTTTGGTACTTCGGTGTGGGACCTAGCCCTTGCTTCAACCCCTCCCCCACTCCATTTGCCTTAAGCTTGGGTCCCTTCCCCTTTCCGAGCTCCACTCTTTCCCAACAGGTGCTGGGGGGACCCTGATGTGGCACCAAATGAAATGAACAAAGCTCCACAGCCCACAGGCCCCCCACCTGCCCCATCCCCTGGACTCCCACAGGTAATTAGGGAGGAATTAGTAGAGACTGGGGTGGGGGTGGGAGAGATCAGGCAGCTGGTCAGGAACAGGTTCCAACCTCTGGATTTTCCCACCCCCATCTGTGTCAGGGCAAAGTGCAGCTTTCTGCTGCCAAATTGAGACAGGGCCCCTGGGCTGTTCCCAGGGGCTGTCATGGGGAAGAGGGGGCATGTGGACTGCTGAAGCTCTTGGCACAGGTCTGCTCCCCTTACTTTACCAGCTTATGTTTCTGCCCCCCCTCCCCGGGTTTCCCCTCTTGCTGAACTCTGGTCTCCCCCCTTCAGCCAGCGTTTCCCCCGGGGCAGACAGCGCCGGTGGTGTTCAGTACGCCACAAGCGACACAAATGAACACGCCTTCTCAGCCCCGCCAGGTGAGGGGCTGTGGGGAGGGGAGTAGGGGGCCTGGGTGGGAGCCATGGAAAGCTTCGGCCAGTTTGGGCCTAGGATGGAAACTATGGAGGCTGTGTACCTGCCCCAATTTCCTGACAGTTGCTCTGTGTTGTTTCATGCGGCTCTGCACTTTGTGCTGTTGATTACTTACAGTGGCTGGCCCCTTGGGGAGTATGGAGTCAGTGGGGGTGGCATTACTAGGGGTCCTGGTGCCTTGAGAATTGGGAGCAGTGCTTTGGGCCCTGCTGTCAACTCCTGTTTTCCTATTTCCTCCTTTTCCTGGGAGGTCGTGAGTGCTCCATTCCCCTTCCCTTCTTTCTCTTTGGACTATGGCAAGATAAACACTCCAGCTGGTTCTTGCCTTTCTCTGTTCTCTAAATTCTTCCTCACTAAGTGGGAGCATTTGTGTCCTACCTCTTTCATTTTTGTTTTCCTCCTCATCACCTTGGGGATAATTCTCTTCTTTCCTGTCCCCATGTGCTCTCAGGGAGGATTCAGGTCTCTGCAGGTAATACCCCTTTGCTGATCCTGGACCCTCTTGTGGTCTCACCCTTAACCTCCACCCTAGTCAAGGGCTAGACACAGGGACGGGTCTTCAGGGTGGGGACATTGTTTGCTGTTGAGGTCCTCAGTCTCATGCCAACCAATGCATGTTAGAGGCTAGATCTTGGCAGAGTGCATATCTGAGAACTGGGAGACTACTGCATGTTAGTGGTTAGCTCCTCTGTACCTTAGGGTGGAGCAATGCATGTTGGGGAGTATGTTGCCCACAAGGGCTTTACTTAGGCATGATGCATCTGGGTGTTAGGGAGCCTTTGCAGAGGGGTAGCCTGGTAGAGGTGACATGAGTATGCACGGCGGTGAGGGAGTAAATATTCATGGTGTGCAAAGCGCATACCTGAATGTGGAGGGTACGTGTGAGTACAAGAAGTTGCTTAACCATCAGTTGGTTGGGTGAGTTAGGATTGGCCCCCGTGCTGCAAAGTCCCCAGTATTTCTCTCCAGACTAGAGACATTGTGGAGTTGCCATTTTGCTGTCCATTTCCTCCCTTTCCCAACGCCAACTGCCTTCCTCCCTCTTGACAGCACTTCTACCCTAGCCGGGCCCAGCCCCCGAGCAGTGCAGCCACCCGAGTGCAGAGTGCAGCCCCCGCCCGCCCTGGCCCAGCTGCCCATGTCTACCCTGCTGGATCCCAAGTAATGATGATCCCTTCCCAGATCTCCTACTCAGCCTCCCAAGGGGCCTACTACATCCCTGGACAGGTGAGGCTGGAGGCTTGGGGGCTGGAAGCCATGGAACCTTCAACCCCAACCCTCCTCTCCCCTACCCTGACCCTCTAGTCGCATCTCTTCTGCAGAGGTGTGACTTCGCTTCTGGTCATTGCCCACAGTGGCTTGTTCTGTCTTGCCCTGCATTCTCTTTGTAGTCTGATATGGTACTCAAAGCTCCCTCAACTCCTCTCCCCTCCTCCTCCCCCTTCCCCACCAGGGGCGTTCCACATATGTTGTCCCGACACAGCAGTATCCTGTACAGCCAGGAGCCCCAGGCTTCTATCCGGGTGCAAGCCCTACAGAGTTTGGGACTTACGGTAAGCAGGGGAGGGTCAGGTGAGAGAGTCCCAGGGAGCATCTAAACTCGCCTACGAATTCCTTGACCCTTCCTCGGCTCATTCCTCGGTCTAGAAATGATAGGGTTAGTAGGTAGTAGGGATTGGTGTTTAATGTGAAACTGGTGTTGGGTGGGTGGGGGCGGTAAGGGCGCAGGGCAGAGCATTTTATCCTATTGGTGAGAGTTGGGAGTCCTCCCTGTGTCCAAGAATTTAGGATCAGGCACAAGTTTGAGGGCCTCTTAGTAAACATTCCCTCTGACACTTGTTCCATGGTTGGTGGGAGCCCATGTAACATGGATTTGGGAGGTTTTGTAGCTGTTTTTCATTTATATTCTAGGAAAGGATTAGTCTGTTCTTTATGGCAGTGGTTTCCAAAATTTTTTGATCATCAGGAAAAATTTTGAGTATGTACCTCTAATACATGTATGTTTTTGTTTGTTTATACGTATGCATCATTTAAACAACACACTTAATGTTGCTTGTCAAAAACAAGTGGAGATTATGGATGAGATTAAAGAACACATCCCATTTTGGAGACCATTGCTTTAAGGAATTAGTTTTTCCACATCCTGGGCCTGGTTCATAATGTTACTTTTTGTTTCCTTGCCCCTTAGCAAAGGGCTGGAGACTGGAACTGGACTCAGGTTGAGTGGAACAGGGTTGGCAAATCTGTTTTTCTCATTCCCAGCCAAAGACCTGATTCTGTTTCAGGTTAAGTAGTTACTGCTCCCTCAGAATACATGTGTGTGTGTTGCTGGGTGTTGGGGGCATACATAATACCTTATAGGGTAGAAGAGAAACTGAAGTCCTGGTAGTGGGAGCTGGTATGTGGTGGGGAAGGAGTGCCTGTCTACGAGGTGTGTGTATGTCAGTGTCAGGAATTCTTGTAAACGCAGTTCAGACTGGTTCCCCAGCTTTGATAGACACCTAATTCCCTTGGGGAGGTGGGTGGGGCAGGGCAAGGGGCCGGCTGTGGGTGATGAGAGGTTTTGGGGATGGGAGGCGTTCAAGCAGGCATCTGTATATGGTTGGGCCCTGACGCTGCCACCATTCTTCCTGTGTCTCCCCTCTCTCCCCCAAGCTGGCGCCTACTACCCAGCCCAGGGTGTGCAGCAGTTTCCCACTGGTGTGGCCCCCGCCCCAGTTTTGATGAACCAGCCACCCCAGATTGCTCCCAAGAGGGAGCGGAAGACTGTGAGTAACAGCAAGGGGCTCTGGGACATCTGGGAAAGGGAGAATCAAGGTCAGGCGCCTTGTGGGTCAGGGAGCAGAAAGTTGAGGAAGGAGGTCTTCAGCTGGGAGTGGTTAGAGAATGGAGATCTGTGAAGTGCTCAGGTTCTTTGTAAGGACTGAGACTTCAGTGTAGAAGTGGCTCATGGGAAGACTGAAGAGGCTAGTGCAGGAGTTCCTGAGAGACCCAGGTTCTGGGGGTCCGTAAGATCTATGTATGGTTTGGGGTTTCTGGTGGCTGGTCTTGGAAATGGTTTGTTTTCTGTGGCCCCAGCCCCCACCTCCCAGTCCTGGAAGCTCTTGAGGCCTCCGCCTCTGCTCAATCCTCAAGCCCTGGGCGTGGTGCCCAGAATAGGGTGCCAGGGCTGGGGAAGCCGCTGAGTCACCCTGGCTCCACCCACTGGATCTGGGCCCTGCCCCCAGAGATCAGGCAGACTAGCCACAAGTGAGCTGTATGGGTGCTAGGTGGGGGTCCTGGGCCCCATGGTGTGCAGCCAGGGGCTTGGGGACTGCTGGTGGGGCAGGGTTGAGGGAGGGAGGGGCATTGTGATGTATGGGGCTGCTCTGTGAGGTCAGGGGTCTCTTAGGGGTGGGGGCCAGGGAAGGGAGTACAAGATGAGCTGGATGGGTTGACAGTAGAACTCATGGGGTTTCTGGCACCCACCCACCTGCTTCCCAGTGGGGGGTGGGGGGTTGGCCTGGAGTCTTAGAAGTGGGGCAGGGTGGAGAGGTGGGCTCCTCCTATTTCCCACTCATCCCGGAGCTTTCTTTCCCCAGATCCGAATTCGAGATCCAAACCAAGGAGGGAAGGATATCACGGAGGAGATCATGTCTGGGGCCCGCACCGCCTCCACACCCACCCCTCCCCAGGTATTGTCTGATCTTTGAGTGAGGCCCTGGCTAGGATGGCTGTTCTGACTGGGGTTTCCAAGTCCTTTGATCTTTTCTTTCAACGAAGGGATTTCTTTGTCTGCTTTCCTGGGTTTTTAGGCAGAGTTAAAGTAGAAATGGCTCTAATAGAGAAGGGTTGTGGGCCTCATCGGGGCAAACTTGGTAACCCTTTGTGTTCTGCAGACGGGAGGTGGTCTGGAGCCTCAAGCTAATGGGGAGACCCCCCAGGTTGCTGTTGTTATTCGGCCAGGTAGGTAAGCAGGTGGGGCAGAGCTTTTTTTTTTTTTTTTTTAAAGATTTTATTTATTTATTTGAGACAGAGAGAATGAGAGACAGAGAGCATGAGAGGGAGGAGGGTCAGAGGGAGAAGCAGACTCCCTGCCGAGCAGGGAGCCTGATGTGGGACTCGATCCAGGGACTCCAGGATCATGACCTGAGCCGAAGGCAGTCGCTTAACCAACTGAGCCACCCAGGCGTGGGGCAGAGCTTTAATGGGGAAAAGGAGTGTGACAATTTCACATGCTGAGGAGGTGGAGTAACTTGACCTGGGTGCCAGAGAAGAATGACCTTAGGTTTTAGGTAGTGGGATTTTGTGAGTGGAGCAGATGTTGGGTGAGAAGAGAAAAGGCTTAGGTGGGATAAGATGGCAGGGGTGGGTGTTAGGCTGGGAATGTCTTGGCTGGGAGGAGGACAAACAACAGCAGTGAAGACGTGCCTCTAATTACTTATCATCTTTCCTTGTGGCGCAGATGACCGGTCCCAGGGAGCAATCATTGGGAGCCGACCGGGGCTGCCTGGCCCAGAACACAGCCCTTCAGAATCCCAGCCTTCATCACCTTGTCCGACCCCATCACCACCCCCAATCTTGGAACCGGGGTCTGAGCCTAATCTCGCAGTCCTCTCCATTCCTGGGGACACGGTGACAACGGGGATGATCCAAATGTCTGTAGAAGAATCCACCCCCATGCCCCGTGAAACTGGGGAGCCGTATTGCCTCTCTCCAGAACCCACTCCCCTTGCTGAACCCATACTGGAAGTAGAAGTGACACTTAGCAAACCAATTCCAGAATCTGAGTTCTCTTCCAGTCCTCTCCAGGTTTCCACCCCCTCTGCATCTCACAAAGAGGAAATTCTTCCTGAACCGAATGGCATGGTCCCATCTGAGGATCTGGAACCAGAGGTGGAGTCGAGCCCAGAGCTTGCTCCTCTCCCTCCCCCAGCTTGTCCCTCCGAATCCCCCATGCCCATTGCTCCAACTGCCCAACCTGAGGAACTGCTCAACGGAGCCCCCTCGCCACCAGCTGTGGACTTAAGCCCAGTCAGTGAGCCAAGGGAGCAGGCCAAGGAGGTGACAGCGTCAGTGGCTTCCCACACCGTCCTCTCTGCCGCTCCAGCTGTGGCTCCTCCAGCTACTTCCCCAGCTCAGGAGGAGGAAATGGAGGAAGAGGAAGAAGAGGAAGAAGAAGGAGAAGCAGGAGACGCTGAGGGTCAGAAAGGAGGAGAGGAACTTCTCCCCCCAGAGAGCACCCCCGTTGCAGCCCACCTATCTCAGAATTTGGAGGCAGCAGCCGCCACCCAAGGTGAGGTGTGGCTGGATGGTGGAAGTGGGGCAGGCTGGAAGGTGTGGGGTTTTCTCTGTAGTGATGACCTCTCATTTGTGCCACTGTGTCTGGGTCATAGAAGCCCTTTGATGGAACCTAAGAGAGAAAATTCCAAGATTAAGGAATTTTAAGTCTGGAGTGGGTGTGATGGAAGGAGGAAATACTGTAGAGTAGCTACTTTTTTTTTAATTTCCCCAGGGATTAGGGGTACTGCATAAGTTATTCCCATTTTTCTTACCCCCCAAATAGTGGCGGTGTCTGTGCCAAAGAAGAGACGGAAAATTAAGGAGCTCAATAAGAAGGAGGCTGTGGGAGATCTTCTAGATGCCTTCAAGGAGGTAAGGGAGCAGAAAGAGAGGGCAGAGTTTGGGTATGAACACTAGTCATACTGCAACCAAAATGGAATGTCCTACGGTTACAGGTGAGCCCAGGAGTACCAGAAGTGGAGAATCAGCCTCCTGTGGGCACCAGTCCTGGTCTGGAGCCTGAGGGCAGCAGTGCATCCCCGAGGCCTGAGGAAGCAGACGAGACCTGGGACTCAAAGGAAGACAAAATTCACAATGCTGAGAACATCCAGCCCGGGGAACAGAAGTATGAGTATAAATCAGGTATGCTGGGGCACCTGGGTGGCTCAGCTGGTTAAGCATCTGTCTTGGGTTCGGGTTATGATCCCAGGGTTCTGGGACTGAGCTGAGCGTCGGGCTCCCTGCTCGGTGGGGAGCCTGCTTCTTCCTCTCCCTCTGCCCCTCCCCTCACTCGTGTTCTCTCTCTCTCTTTCTGCTCGCTTGCTCTCTCAAATAAGTAAATAAAATCTTAAAAAAAAAACAAAAAACATATTCTGAAGGAAGGGTTGAGAAGGGTTGGGTATTCTTTCCAGGGCCCCAGGAAACAAAGGTATGATTGGTTCATCTCGTCTTCCTCGTAGATCAGTGGAAGCCTCTAAACCTTGAAGAGAAAAAGCGTTATGACCGTGAGTTCCTGCTTGGCTTTCAGTTCATCTTTGCCAGTATGCAGAAGCCGGAGGGATTGCCCCATATCAGCGATGTGGTGTTGGATAAGGTTGGTAGACTTGAGGGGGGAGGGTCAGTTTGGGCTGGCTGGCTGGCTGGCTGGGGAGGAGCCTGAGGTCCTGAAAGAGTAGTCAGGAGCCATAGCTTATTTCTCATGCCTTCCCTGTCCTCTTTGCAGGCCAATAAAACACCACTGCGACCACTGGACCCCACTAAACTTCAAGGCATCAATTGTGGTCCAGACTTCACTCCTTCCTTTGCCAACCTTGGCCGACCAGCCCTTAGCAACCGTGGGCCCCCAAGGGGTGGGCCAGGTGGGGAGCTGCCCCGAGGGCCGGTGAGTGGGACTGGCTAGGGGGACAGATGGTTGGGGGGGGGGTTGGGGAACGGCTCCCTTGTCTTGCTGCGGGGAGGGGGAGTCTGCCCTGGGGGGGGTGTGGTAGCGGTGGCACAGTTGTGCTGACTTGCTCTGTGTCTTCACTTGGCCTCACCCCTTGCTTAGCAGGCTGGTCTGGGACCCCGGCGATCTCAACAGGGCCCCCGAAAGGAGCCCCGCAAGATCATTGCCACAGTGTTAATGACCGAAGATATAAAGTTGAACAAAGCGGAGAAAGCCTGGAAACCCAGCAGCAAGCGGACGGCCGCTGATAAGGATCGAGGGGAGGAGGATGCTGATGGCAGCAAAACGCAGGTACCGGCCAGTGCTGCTTTTGCTGTTTCTTCTCAAGGTCTGCCCTCTGAGCCAGCTCTGCCCTCTTTGCTTCTGTCATCCTTATGACTAGTGGCTACTTGAGTCCCTACGACCTCTCCCATCACTCCCAGCAACCTCTTCTGAGAAGCTCACTGGATTCTGAGTCTTCTCTGTCCCCTCTCCCAGGACCTGTTCCGCAGGGTGCGCTCCATCCTGAATAAGCTGACACCCCAGATGTTCCAGCAGCTGATGAAGCAGGTGACGCAGCTGGCCATTGACACCGAGGAACGCCTCAAAGGGGTCATTGATCTTATCTTCGAGAAGGCCATTTCAGAGCCCAACTTCTCTGTGGCCTATGCCAACATGTGCCGCTGCCTCATGGCGGTTAGTGTCCACTGCTACTGAACCTTGTGGTCTAATTTCCTACTTCTCTCCCTAGGACTCCTTGAGTCCAGCTTCTTGGTTCTCTTCCAGCCTGTGCTGTTGATGGCAGCCAGGAGGTGGCAGAGTGGGGGCCAAGGGTCTTCCTGGGTTAGGTAGCTAAAGACCCTTGGAGGGCCTTCCCACTCGGGACCAGCTTAAATGTGATGTTCTCTTTGACATACAGCTCAAAGTGCCCACTACAGAAAAGCCAACAGTGACTGTGAATTTCCGAAAACTGTTGTTGAATCGATGTCAGAAAGAGTTTGAAAAAGACAAAGATGATGATGAGGTTTTTGAGAAGAAGCAAAAAGAGATGGATGAAGCTGCTACGGTGAGAGAAAACCCACCAAGCCCACTGTCCATCCACCCAGTTGCTGCTCGGCTATAGAATGGGGTGGGGGGAGGTAAAAGGGGGTTGGGGGTGATGGTGTTTTGGGGGTTTCTCTGCCTTAAGACAGGAATACTTGCTGCTAGGGTTAGGAATCCAGATAGTGGAGGAGAGAAGGGTTTTTAGCCCAGTGTCTGGGTACCTTTTTGATGGATTTCTGCCATATAATTCCAGGCAGAGGAACGGGGACGCCTGAAGGAAGAGTTGGAAGAGGCTCGAGACATAGCCCGGCGGCGCTCTTTAGGGAATATCAAGTTTATTGGGGAGTTGTTCAAGCTGAAGATGTTAACAGAAGCGATAATGCATGACTGTGTGGTTAAACTACTTAAGAACCATGATGAAGAGTCCCTTGAATGCCTTTGTCGTCTGCTCACTACCATTGGCAAAGATCTGGACTTTGAAAAAGCCAAGGTAGGGGTCCTGGGATGTGGAATGGGACAGGCTGAAGTGCCTGGGGCCTGCTGTCCACTCACAAACTCCTTGTCGGGCTGTTGTGTGTGGGCCACTGAGCCACAGTGATGGAGCTGAGGGTCTGAGGAGGGGCCGGGCCTGCAGTTGGAGCTGAGGTGTTACAAGTTCCTGACCTGATCCCTTTGCTTCTTCCTAGCCCCGCATGGATCAGTATTTCAACCAGATGGAAAAAATCATTAAGGAAAAGAAGACTTCGTCCCGAATCCGCTTTATGCTGCAGGATGTGCTGGATCTGCGACGGGTGTGTGTCCTCTCCTTCCCACTGCTGGTCGGCTGCCTGTACGCCATAGCCCCCAGTTCCCAGCATTGCTTTGTCTGGCCCTCTGATATAATTACCTTGTGACTGGCCTTCTGTCCCTACAGAGCAATTGGGTGCCACGCCGTGGGGACCAGGGTCCCAAGACCATTGACCAGATCCACAAGGAGGCTGAGATGGAGGAGCACTGGGAACACGTAAAAGTGCAGCAGCTAATGGCCAAGGGCAGCGACAAGCGTCGGGGCGGCCCCGCAGGCCCACCCATTAGTGAGTCTGAGGCTCAGATTAAGGAGGGGGCAGGGTGAGGGGTTACGCTTTCCACTGATGACTTTTTGTTAGTGCCACGTGTCTGGGCCACTGAGACCACATGATGGAACTGAGGATCTGAGGAAGGGGGGCTGGGGGCGGCCCCAGGCAATAGCAGTGCTTGGAGGTATTCATTATTGCAATATGCTGTCTCTCCTCTTTGTCCCAGGCCGTGGCCTCCCACTTGTGGATGATGGTGGCTGGAACACAGTCCCCATCAGCAAGGGCAGTCGCCCTATCGACACCTCACGACTCACCAAGATCACGAAGGTAGTGGGTGGTGTATTGGAGGGAGTGGTGGTGGTCATGGGGAGGGTAAAGAGGGATCAAACAGGCAGTGAGCCTAGGTGAGGATCTTGGTCCCCTCACTTTCTGAAGTTGGAAAGGTGATGGCTGAATTTTTCCTCTTAGACTAACTGGTTAGATTGCTAGAGACGGGACTGCCAGCTGAAGGGGGTATATTCACATCTGTCTGGGCCAGTGGTTAGCAAACTCACATAGCAAACCTGGCCCATTCCTTGCTTCTCTATATTCCACAGCTAACAACTGGTCTTTACGCTTTTTTAACGGTTGAAAAAGATAAAGTGGATGATACTATGTAATATGAAATTATTCAAAATGTAAATTTCAGTGTCCTTGGTTTTATTATAACACAGCCATATTCATTCCCCTTAAGTATCGTCTGTGACTGCTTTTGTGCAACAGTGGCCGAGTGGAATAGTTGAAATAGAAACTGTATGGCCTGCAAAGCCTGAAGTATTTACTATTTGGTCTTTTACAGGAAAAGTTTGCCCGGTCCCTGGTCTAGGCCATTTGCTACTGTGTAGCAGTGGGCTTTGGCCAGATCAGACTCTTGATGTCTCCGTTCCCTTTCCTCCCTCAGCCTGGCTCCATTGATTCTAACAACCAGCTCTTTGCACCTGGAGGACGATTGAGCTGGGGCAAGGGCAGCAGTGGGGGCTCAGGAGCCAAGCCCTCCGATGCAGGTATGGAGGCCATTGTAAAGAGTTGGGTGGCTGTTTTTTCTTTCTTGAGGGCAGAGCCTTGTTTGTAGGGGAGGCTTTTGGTACCAAGTGGTTAGGTAATAACAGGAGGCCTATGCTCGGGACTAGGACTGAATGAACTGTGTTTGTGTTGGGAGTAGGACCAAGTGTCCTAAACTGGCAAGTAGGAGATAGAATGGGAGAATGTGGGAAGAGATTTTGATCTGGGCCTTCTGCCTCCCCAGCATCAGAAGCTGCTCGTCCAGCTACTAGTACCTTGAACCGCTTCTCAGCCCTCCAACAAGCAGTACCTACAGAAAGCACCGATAGCAGACGTGTGGTGCAGAGGTGAGGTTTCCTGGGTGTCTCCGTTCTTCACGCGGGGACTACTGTGATGGGCTTTGGGCGTTGCCATAGGAATCCTCACACCTGTAATCAGAGCCCCTAGCTAAATTGGAGCACATTCCTGATGCCGGGAACTAGGCCCGATGGTTGCTCAGCATGTTGGATAGCTATACGAGAGAACACCTCGGTGGTACAGGTGAGAGGTGACATGCCTGTTTTTTTCTCTAGGAGTAGCTTGAGTCGGGAAAGAGGTGAGAAAGCTGGGGACCGGGGAGACCGCCTAGAGCGGAGTGAACGGGGAGGTGACCGTGGGGACCGGCTCGATCGCTCTCGGACACCTGCCACCAAGCGGAGCTTCAGTAAGGAAGTGGAAGAGCGGAGTAGAGAGCGGCCCTCCCAGCCTGAGGGACTGCGCAAGGCAGCTAGCCTCACAGAGGATCGGGACCGCGGACGGGATGCCGGTAAGGGGCTGGGAGAGGAAGGGAAAGGTGTGGGTTTGGGTCTAGCCAGTCTCCAATCTTCAGAGCTCCGGGCCTAGGAAAATTAGAACTGAAGAGTCTCCATGGGGCGCCTGGGTGGCTCAGTGGGTTAAGCGTCTGCCTTGGGCTCAGGTTAGGATGGAGCCCCACATTGGCCTCCCTGCTCAGCGGGGAGCCTGCTCCTCCCCCCTGCCGCCCCTCCTCCTCTGCTTGTGCTCTATTTCTTGCTTTCTCTCTCTAGAATAAATAAAGTCTTAAAAAGAAAAAACTAAAGGGTGTTGAATCTGTCCTTCCCCTTTAGTGAAGCGAGAAGCCACCCTGCCCCCGGTGAGCCCCCCGAAGGCTGCGCTTTCTGAGGAAGAGCTGGAGAAGAAATCCAAGGCCATCATTGAGGAATACCTCCATCTCAATGACCTGAAGGTAGGCTCTGGGTGGGGTCTGAGCGACAGCAGAGCGGGCGGGACATGTGTTCACCGGCCTGGACCAAACGGTGACTGCCCTCTCCCTCCTTCCGCACCCCTATAGGAGGCAGTGCAGTGCGTACAGGAGCTGGCCTCACCCTCCCTGCTCTTCATCTTTGTGCGGCATGGCATTGAGTCAACACTGGAGCGCAGCACCATTGCTCGTGAGCATATGGGGCGGCTGCTGCACCAGCTGCTTTTGGCCGGGCACCTCTCCACTGCTCAGTACTACCAAGGGTATGCCTTCTGAGGGCCTTCTGCTTTTACAGACCCACAGACTTTCCTCCTTTGTAGGACGCATGCAGCCTTGGATAAGAGTGTAGGTTCCTCAGCCATCCTGGTCAGCGTGACTTTTGGCAGGGCTAGGGTATACCATGCAAGGACAAGAGTGTGGCCTTAGCTTGAGATAGTTGCCCCCTGTTTAGGAAGTGTTCTTGAGGGGGTCCGCAATTGATCCTTTAACAATGCCATGTTGCCCCAGAAGGAGAGTGGGGGTCCGGCTTACCTTTCCTAGAATACCCTGACTTTTTTTTTTTTTTTTTTTTTTTAAGATTTTATTTATTTATTTGAGAGAGAGAGTGCGCATGTGAGTGGGGGGAGGGGCAGAGAGAGAATCTTCAAGTTCAAGCAGACTCCC